GAAGCCAAAGAAAAGTCAAACAGCCAACCTACTCAGCCCCAAACACCTCACACACTCCCACCCTTGTTTCTGCTAGTGGCAGGTATTTTTAGAGTCCTGAGCTCATGGTGTTAAAGCATCTGCCATACTCGCCTGAGGACTGGTAGGGATTCAGCTTCACTCAGAGGCAAAAGGGATGGGAGCTCAGGAACCAGCAGAAAGGCTATTGGTGCACCTGACCTGCTCTCTCCCCGCTGACCACCATTCCTTTCCTGACCTGCTTACCCTTTCTTCCTGTGCATAGAACCAGAGAGAAGCTAGACATGACAACCTTTTCTCTCTCTGCTTGCAGAAGCATCTCTATCTTCTCTTTTTTAAAGGATGACCAACTCATGTTTTTCTGTGTAACCGAAGTTACACAGGAATAGCCTTGAATGCTAGCTTGCTTGTCTTTTTGATGGCTCAGGACAATACTATGTTTTGGGGATGACGACAACGATGACAGCCACGATGATGAGAGATCTGAGGCAGAAGACTGCCGACAGTTTAGCTTAGGAGATGTCAAGCCCACTAAAGAAACAATCTGAGAATATGTACATGTATTCTGACTGGTGTGGTACAGATGCAAAGTGCGATAGAAATACCCAAGACAAGAGAACTGAAGGAAGCTTGGAGAAGGTTTTAGGAGGAAGACAGAGGCATGAACTGAGCCTTGAAGAATGGATAGGGCAAAGAAGAGTAACCAGTTCTGCTGGGGGAGGGTGGTTTAGAACAAGCAAAGATACAGAGAGAAGGAACCAGGTGTAGCTGAGTAGTTTGGAGCTAGGTTGACTGAAGTCTAATAATGGCACACAAGGAAATTCCCATTGGATACCACATGCAATGGTGGTGGTTGTTAAGTGCCATCGAGTCAGTTCCAACTCATAATGACCTTATATAGGGTTTCCAAGGAGCAGCTGGTGGGTTTGAACCACCAACCTAGTGGTTAGCAGTCCAGTGCTTATCCTATAGTGCTACACCAGGACTACTCCACCTGCGGTGGAGGACTATCTGATTCCTGAAGAGAGGAGGATATACTGCTGAGGCAGGTGTGGGTTTAAGAAGGCTGATCTGAAAGTGGTGTGAAGGAAATACTGTAGGGGACACATCCAGCATCCAAATTGGTCTGCTGTAATCCAGGAATGAGGAATGGAGGGTCTGGTTTAGAGCTCTGTAGACAGAAGTAGAGGAGCAGTGGAGAGATCTGAAGGTCACACCAAAGGAATTTAGCATTATGTCTACACAGGAGGTGAAGGGAGCCTGGACCATGAAAATTCATGTTCAGAATGGGCCTCTGTGAGATCTTCACTCAGCAAAGAAATTCTGTTATAATGACTCGAATCTGTTGTTTTTAGGTACTCTCGAGTCAGTTCTGACTCATAGCATCCCCTTGTACAATAGAACAAAACCCTGCCCTGTCCAGTCCTGCTCAGCCTCACAATTGTCACTATGTTTGAATTTACTGTTGCAGCCCCTATGCCAAACCATCTCATCGAGGGTCTTCCTTGTTTCCGTTGACACTCTTCTTTACCAAGCATGATGTCCTTCTCCGAGGAGTGGTCCTTCTTGATAACATGTCCCGAGTCCCTATGATGAAGTGTCACCACCCTCCCTTCTAAGGAGCATCTGGTTGTACTTCTTCCAAGACAGATTTGTTTCTTCTTCTGGTAGCCCATGGTATAGTTACTATTCACCAACACCATAGCTCAAATGCATCAATTCTTCTATGGTCTTCCTTATTCATTGTCCAGATTTCTCATGCCTATGAGGCAATTGAAAATGTGATGGCTCGGATCGGGCCCACCTTAGTCCTCAATGTGAAATCTTTGCCTTTTAACACTTGAAAAGTGAAGATCAAAAATTACAGTCTTCAGTATGGATTACACTTCAATATATTGTTGTTAAGTGCTGTTAAGTTGGTTCCAATTCATAGTGACCCTTTATTGGGTTTCCGATATTTTAATCTTCACAGGAACCAAAAGCCTCGTCTTTCTCCCGAGGAGTGACTGGCAGGCTCGAACCATGAACCTTGTGGCTCACAGTCCAGTCAATATAAAGAAAACAAAAAATCCTCACAGTTGAACATGTAAGCAACATCATGATAAGTAGAGAAAATATAGACGTTGTCAAGGGTTTCATTTTACTTGGATTTTACTTGGCTTTATAATTCCCATGGAAGTTCTTGTTGTTGTTAGGTGTCATCGAGTCGGTACTGACTCATAGCGACCCTATGCACAGCAGAACGAAACACTGCCCGGTCCTGGGCCAACCTCACGACTGTTGCCATGCTTGAGTCCATCGATGCTGCGCCACTTGGCCGATCCATCTCGCTGGGGGTCTTCCTCTTTTTCCCTGACCCTCCACCTTACCAAACATGATATCCTTCTCCAGCGACTGGTCCCTCCTGACAATATGTCCAAAGTATGAGAGACGAAGTTTGGCCATCTTGGCCTCCAAGGAGCACTCTGGCTGCACTTTTTCCAACACAGATCTGTTGGTTCTTTTGGCAGCCCAAGGCCCTTTCATTAGTCCCCTCCAACACTACAACTCAAATGTACCAATTCTTCTACTGTCTTTCTTATTCACTGCCCAGCTTTCGCATGCATATGAGGTCATTGAAAATACCATGGCTTGGGTTAGGCACACCTTAGTCCTCAAGCTGACATCTTTGCTCTTCAACACTTTAAAAAGGTCTTGTGCAGCAGATTTGCCTAATGCAAGGCGGCATTTGATTTCTTGACTGCTGCTTCCACGAGTGTTGATAGTTGATCCAAGAAGAATGAAGCCCTTGGCAACTTCAAATTTTTCTCCTTGGATAATAATGTAGTTGTTTATTGGTCCAGTGGTGAGGATTTTTGTTTTCTTTACACTGAAATGCAATCCATACCGAAGGCTATGGTCTTTGATCTTCATCAGTAAGTATTTTAAATCCTCTTCACTTTCAGCAAGCAAGGTTGTATCATCTGCATATTGCAAGTAGGCAATCTTGATGCCCTGTTTTTCTTCATATAACTCAGCTTCTTGGATGATTTGCTCAGAATACAGGTTGAATAAGTATGGTGAAAGAATACAACCCTGTCACACACCTTTCTTAATTTTAAGCCATTCAATGTTCCCATGCTCTGTTCAAACAACTGCCTCTGGGTCCATGTACAGATTCCTCATGAGCACAGTTAAGTGTTCAGGAATACACATACTTCACAATGTTGTCCATAGCTTGATCCACACAATGGAAAGCCTTTGCATAGTCAATAATGCACAGGTATTCTTTCTGGTATTCTCTGCTTTCAGCCAAGATCCATCGGACATCAGCAGTGATATCCCTTGTTCCACGGCCTCTTCTGAATCTGGCTTGAACCTCTGGAAGTTCTCTGTCAATGTATGCTTGCAGCCGCTTCTGTATTACCTTTAGTAAAACTTTACTGTCATGGGATATCAGAGAGATTGTCTGATGATTTCCGTATTCCTTTGGGTCACCTCTCTTTGGAATGGGCACAAATACAGGTCTTTTCCAATCCTTCAGTAACGAAAGTTGAGGCTTGGATTTTTTCTTTAGATCCCCCAGCTTGAGAAATGCTGAGCGTGTTCATCCCTTTTGGTTTTCTGACTCCAGATCTTTACACATTTCCTTGTAATATTTGACTTTGTCTTCTCGAGCTGACCTTTGAAATTTTCTGTTCAGCTCTTGTACCTCCTCATTTCTTCCATTTGCTTTAGCATCTCTCTGCTGGAGAGCAAGTTTCAGTGTCTCTTCTGGCATCCTCTCCTAGAGAGCGGTTAGGTTTTTTCAAAAAGCATAAACACCACCGCAACAGAGGTGTTTGTATGCAGAGTTTTGACTGTCTGTTTGCTACTTCTTTTGTACAGATTTTTGGGCATGGGATTATAGGCTTGAAGAGTTTTGAGCATTTTCTTTTCTGTTTTTCTTCTATTAGAACCTTAGGCCTCCCCTGGGCAGTACCAACGGTTCAGTACTTAACGGAAAGGTTGATGGTTCGAATCCACCCTGAGGTGCCTTAGAAAAAAGGCATGGTGATCTACTTCCAATAGGTGACAGACATTGAAAACCGTACAGACTGAAACACATGTGGTTACCATGAGTAAGAATCAACTTTAGAAAAATGGTTTTTAACTGCATCTGCCCTTGGACTTAGTCCTGGTCTTCACCATGTAAAATGGCACATGTGCCCAACTTTTTGTTGGAATAGTGTTCATGAAAACAAAGATTGGGAAAAACAGAGGCTGCTAATAGGGATTGATGAAATAAATTGTGGGCATGATTTTAATAGGATTTAAAAACAGTACTGTAATTTCAATCACAGGCAGCTGCTAAAAATAACAAGGCAGATCTACATGTACACCTATAGAAGTATCTCCAAGACGTATTGTTAAATATGTTTCTTAAAAGTGATTTCATAGGTATTTATTGCGGGCTGTTGGGGTGCACAGAGGCTCTGGAGAATAAACCACAAGGTTAAAGGTTCCACTCTGTGGGAGGAAGATGAGGCTTTCTGCTCCCACAAAGATTGACTGCCGTGGAAACCCTGTGCAGGGTCAGTATGAGTAAGAACCAACTCAGTGGCACTTAGCAATGACAACAACAACTGAGGGCTGTTGAATCACCTCATGGCACCTCCAGGAACAATGGGATTGAACTGTTTTGATCCGTCGTTTTCACTGGCTGATTATTAGTAGGTAATGAGCATTTTAAAGTTCTTAATAATACTGTCAACTAGCTCTCCAGAAAGGTTGACCAATTTACCTGTTTTTCAACTGAAAATCTGAAAAACAAAACCAAAAAGTATGATGAATCCTGAAGTCTCAATCTACTTTGGTAAGTTTATTTTTGGCCACCTGTCAGAAACCCACTTTCTGTATCAGGATTCTCACCTCATTTGTTTTAAATACCATAGATCCATGCTTTCTGCTATCTGTTCATACTTCTGTTTCTGACTCCAAATGTGGGCTTTGCTATCTTCCAGGTTCAGGTGTGGGACACAGCGGGTCAGGAACGTTTCCGCAAGAGCATGGTAGAACATTACTACCGCAATGTGCATGCTGTGGTCTTTGTCTATGATGTCACCAAGATGACATCCTTCACCAACCTCAAAATGTGGATCCAAGAATGCAATGGGCATGCTGTGCCCCCACTAGTCCCGAAAGTGCTTGTGGGCAACAAGTGTGACTTGAGGGAACAGATCCAGGTACCCTCCAACCTAGCCCTGAAATTTGCTGATGCCCACAACATGCTCTTATTTGAGACATCAGCCAAGGACCCCAAAGAGAGCCAGAACGTGGAGTCAATTTTCATGTGCCTGGCTTGCCGATTGAAGGCCCAGAAATCTCTGCTGTACCGTGATGCTGAGAGGCAGCAGGGGAAGGTGCAGAAACTGGAGTTCCCACAGGAAGCCAACAGTAAAACTTCCTGTCCCTGTTGAAACCAAACGTTGTAAATACGAGCTAAATGATCACGGGAGTTTTTGCTTTCACTTTTTTTTCTGTGCCTGCAATAAAGCTGACACCTGCTTGTTTCCATACAAGTTGATATTAAAATAAAATTTGTATAGATTATCACATGCCTTCTTCATGTCTTGCTTTCCGCCAAGAAGATATTTCTGAATGTGTCTAAGAGGTGCCAAGGAACACCTCCTACCAGCTTCCTGAAATTCTCATGATTTGTGTCACTTCTTTGGGACAAATTCATTCTGTCACTCAGCATCACCAGTGGGCAGAAACACCTGGAGGGGATGGGACACAGACCAGTTAAGGTTTTCTAGTTGAGCCACTGCATGTGGTAGGATAAAGACACCTTCAGGGGAGATGCTGACTCAGCAGTATTTCCTAGGTTCTAGTGATGGTGTGGCGCTGTGGGTTAATGCGCCAGACTGCAAAGCTGTTTGAACTGCAAGGTCAGCGGTTCAAGCTCACCAGCCGCTCCTCAGAAACCCTATACAGGGTCACTATGGGTCGGAACCGACTCGACGGCACTTCACAACACAACAACAACAGTGATGTTGAGAGGAGGCTGCTCTCCCCATATTTCCAAAAAATAAAAATAAAAATTTTATAGATTGCCCAACGTCCCCAAGTTGCTTCAGAGTAGTTAGATTTTGCTATTTTTCATCAAGCCATCCCTGATACCGAAAGCGTGGGTTCTTTTTGGTTTTTATTTTCCATCTCTTTTCTCAAATGAGGGCAGGGGTCAAGCTAAAAGCTAATCTATTGCAGGCCCTGTGAAAGGCATTTAATTAGAGGACTCTAAGTCCCCTACCTTCAAAGTCCTTCTTAGCTAGTTGTGGGAATGAAACTACTTGAGAACAAAGAGCAGAGAACAGGACCACCAAGGATGAGGCTGGGCTGTGGGAATGGGGAGCATCATGGACTGAAGGTTCACAGAAAACGAATTGTCCTTCTTTTGTATATTAAATGAAGTGAAAGTTTGGGCTGATAAAGAGATGGGGGAATGGGCCAAAGGCAGGTGGAAATGGACTTGATGCTCCAACGGGTAGGAGTCTGGCTGTCATGGGTGGCAGCTGAACGGCCTCAATGGGGAGCAGAGATAAGGGCATGCAGTTCAGTTTACACTTGCTTTTTCAGCCAGTGGGAGCCTTTGTGGTTCTTGAATAGGAAGGAGAGTCCTATAGGACTCTTTAAACACAGTACTGTAATTTCAATCGCAGGCAGCTGATAAAAATAACAAGGCATATTGTTAAATATTTCTTAAAAAGTGATTTCACAGGTATTTCTTGTGGGCTGTTGAGGAGCACAGAGGCTCTGGAGAATAAACCACAAGGTTGAAGGTTCCACTCTGTGGGAGGAAGATGAGGCTTTCTGCTCCCACAAAGATTTTCATACATTGGGTCCTGTTGATGTGAAAGCCCCTATTCAACTGGTAACGTAAGTAAACTTGGCTAGAAAAATGCTGATATGTGTGGTACTGCAGGATGATGCATGGGATCACAAGGACAGTTTGAATCACTAGGTCGGCAGTTCAAACTCACCAACCACTCCTAGGAAATTCTACACAGGGTCGGGTAGCTATGAATGGAAACAGACACTTTACAACACTTAACAACAACAATAGCCCCAGGTGGATTTCTTTGTTTGCAGGGAACAGGGGTTGCTTCTTAAGGGGGTCTTTCTTGTTGGCACTCCTCTGTGAGGGGATGCAGGAAGAAAGTTATGGATCACTTTCCCTTGTAGGTCTCTGCAGGTCTGCCCCCAGACAGCACAGGGATGCCAGCTTAGGTCCTATCTGTCTCGTCTGGGCAACACTCTTCCACCCACATTGGCTAATCCCCTTCTGCCCATCCTACTTCTGCCCGACCTGCAGGCTCAGCCTAGTCTCAGAAGCTTGGCTAGTACCCAGTTACCCAGTAACCAGTCCCTATAAAGCCAATCCCAACTAACAGTGACTTCATGTATGTGAGAATAGAACTGTGCTCCGTAGGGTTTCAACGGTTGATTTTTTTCTCAAGTAAATGGCTAAGCCTCTCTGCCAAGGAATGTCTGGGTGGACTCTAACCTCTAGCCTTTCAATTCACAGCTGAGCATGTTAACTGTTTGCACTGATCAAGGACTCTTATGCTCCAGTTGGTACAATTGTGTGTCATTGAGTCAGTTCTGACTCATAGTGATCCTGTAAGGATTTCCGAGGTTGTAAATGTTTATAGGAGCAGAAAGCCTCATCTTTCTCCCATGGGGTGACTGGTAGGTTCGAACTACTGACCTTGCAGTTAGCAGCCCAGCTAAAAATCCACTACGCTACCAGAGCTCTGTAGAATTGATTCATTTGAGTTACGGTGTTGGAGAAGAATTTTTAAAGTACCATGGACTGACAGAAGTGCTCCCTAGAAGCCAGGATGGCCAGACTTCATCTCTCATACTTCGGACATATTATCAGGAGGGACCCGTCTCTGGAGAAGGACATCATGCTTGGTAAAGTGGAGGGAAGACGCCCAACAAGATGGATTGGCATGGTAGCAGCAGCAATGGGCTCAAGTGTAGCAATTGTGTGGATGGTGCAGGACCGCACAGGGCTTCATTCTGCTGTGCATGGAGTCGTTATGAGTCGGAACTGACTCGATGGCACCTAACAACACCAACCAGGACTCCAATGCATTTTTTTTTTTTTTTTACCAGCTGACTCAATTTGACACCCTACCCCTGAATCTCACACAGGATCTGCGGATCCTGTTGTCTGCTCCTGAAATCCCTGTTGCTGTGCATCTTCCCTGGTGTGGCACTGTTGGAAAAGAACTGGACTGCTAACTGCAAGGTTGGCAGTTCAAAGCCACCAGTCTCTCAGAAATCCTATAAAGGTTGTTATAGGAAATCCTATAAAAGTTGGAACCAACTTAACAGCACACAACAACAACATGTGTCTCTCCTGACAGAATACCCCATGGCATTGTATCAGACTCTGCTGTGGACTCCTTGGCCAGGACCCACCCTGATGTTGTGGTATGGCTGCTGTGTACTTGTCTGCCCTGAGCACTGTATTTCAGTCCAGGATCCGGCCCCTCTTGATCTGCCTATTTTTTTCTGGAATAGGACCAACATGCTGTAAGCAGGACTCGCCCTTTCAACACTAGGCTTGTTCACAGGCTTTCCACATTCACTGAGCACATACTATATGCACCGTTGTAAGCCCTACCTATTGCCATCAAGTTGATGCTAACTCCTAGGGACCATGTAGGTCAGAATAGAACGGCACCATAGAGTTTCCAAAGCAAATCTTTACAGAAGAAGATGGCCACCTCTTTCTCCTATAGAGTGGCTGGTGGGTTCCAGCTGCCAACCTTGGGGTTAGCAGCCAAGGACTTTAACCACGGAGCCACCAGGGGAATACATCGACACCTACGAAATAAAACTTCACCCTCACAAAGGAGCCACACACTGAACAAGAAAAGAAATAAAGAAATGATCTGAGGTAGTAATAAGGACTCCGAAGGCAAGGAAATGGTCAAAGGATGGAAAGTGAGCGAGGTCAGGTAGGGTAGGCTAGTAGAGTGGTCAGGATCAGCAAAAGCATCTGGGAAGGGAGAACATTCTGGCTGAGACCTAAGAGAGAAGCAAAGCAAACGTCCACAAGCTCAAGGGGAAGAAAACCCCAGGCAGTGGAGAGAGTATATGCCAAAGCCCCAAGACAGGAGCCTGGTGGTGTGATTGGAACAGAGCCCCCTGGAGGGAGAAGGAGGTAGGAGATGAGGAAGACAGGGATATGAAGCCAGGTCATCTGGGGCCCAGGGCAGGGAGTGTGGGCTTTATTGACTGCAGTGGGAAGCCAGTGGAAGGAGGGTTGGAGAACCATCCAGGCTCAGTTCCTTTGGAACGATTCAGAGGCTTGCTGACCTGCAAGAGGGAAGAGCCTCCATTTTTTATTTTATTTATTTATTTATTTTTAGCTCCTCTGAAAGTGACAGGCACTTCCAGGGTGGCTGGTCGCCACCACCTTAAAAACCCAGACTCCTCACCTTTTGGTCCTGCCAAGCCTGTGGTAGTTTTGGTGCAAATAGCAGGCACTTATGGATACCACCGCCCCTCTAGCCCCCATGCTCTATCCTCCCTGCCTCACCTGCCTGGTTCTGTCCCTTCCCTCGATATGAAGTTTCTCCTGAGCCACTCAGGAACAGCCAAAAAGCCCTTTACTTCCTCATGTGACCCCAAGAATCTTGAGCATCTCTTGGCTCCACCTAGATCTTCTCCCACTCTCTTCCTGGAGTCCCGTTGCCCTCCCTGAGCGTGAGGATGCAGAAGAGGCATCCCAATATAGAACCAGGAAATGTCGATGGAATTCTGGCATTGCTAGTAGTAAGAGCCCGTGGGTGGTGCCAATGGTTAGTGTGCTCAGCTGCTAACTGAAAGTTTGGAGGCTCATGTTCGCCCAGAGGCACCTTGGGAAAAAGTCCTGGCGATTGACTTTCCCCCAAAATCAGCCATTGAAAACCCTGTGGAGCTCAGTTCTTCTTGGATACACATAGGATCACCATGAATGGGGATCAACTGACTTGTTTGTTTTAGCATTGTTAGGAAGATCCCTGATGTGGCACAGTAGGATAAACACTGGACTACTAACCACAAGGTCTGTTGCTCAAGTCCACCAGCTACTCATCGGAAACTCTATACAGGGAGCCTATGAGTCAGAACCGACTCCACGGCACTTAACAGCAAGAAGGAAGATTCCTTTCCCAGCCCCAAAACTGACCCATGGAAACAGCCAGGTGACATGGTGGCGCTTGGCCTCCCTCACACCGAGAACCATGAGGCATTTGCGAAGCGGGTGAAGGGTGGGGGAACTCAAGGTCGGCAGTTGGAAACTACCAGCCGTTCCGCGACAGAAAGATGAGGCTTTCTGTTCCCGTAAACATTTACAGCCTCGGAAACTCTATGCAGGGTCATTGTGAGTCAGAACCGATTTCCTTTCAAGGAAAGGAAACCCTTCAACATCCAAGGGTAGTTCCAGAGACAGTGAAGCCCAATGAGGAGCTACTCCATGGCACACCATCACCATCACCACCACCACACTGCTCTTCTAGCCAGTCCTCCTGACCCATGGGGCTCGGTGAGCA